CCCGACGAGGGAGTGAAGGCGAGTTTGATATCTTTGCTCCAGTGTACACTGAAGCATAATGCCGAGCAGATACAGTAGCCTTGTTTACATCCGTGTTAGCTGTGATTCCATTCTCAACAAGACTCAGGAGACCAGGCACCGTTCTGGTTCTCCTTTTCAAGTACGCAAATAGCCTCTTTGGCGCCGTGGCAGATTCACCAGCTAGACGCTCCTCGAAAACACGGCGTTTGGCCAGCTTAGCTGCCGAACACTGTTTTTGTATTAGTCGGTATTCATCGTAGCCTGAATTCGAAGTACGGTAGTGCTTCCAAGCACGATTTCCTACGGAGCAAACTTCTAAGCTCACGATCGAACCAGGTTGGTCCCATAGCATGAGGCCGGCTCCTGCGGACAGGGGCGAATCGTTGCACTAGATATGTAGTAGGCAATCTCAGATGATACACCACGACTCTTCGACATCTTTGTCGATCGGCTCCCAGTTTAACAACTACGCTGCGGTACGCATGTCATCGAAATGTATCCGCCATACATTCCGTCCCTCTGGGGGCCGTTGTGAGAAGGAGGTCCCACATATTCAGCACACAATCAACACCAAATGATCACTGGCACCGAAAGGTGAGAGAAACTGAATATTAGCTACGTCCAAGACACGAGGAGTTAGAACAAGATGAAATTTGGACTACTGGTGACCAAGACTGCGGGTGGGTCCATACACATGTTGATGACGATCTAGTTTACAGACTATTGAATGCAATTCCCGTGAAAAGTGATCAGCGGACGTGGTGTAACAGTATGAGGCCCAGCGCCTCATGGATTCCAACAAGTGAAGAGTCCGATGCAGGAGTCCTGTAGACGCCTCTTGCCACAGTATAGCCGATGCGGGAAAGTTCTATGTTGTACCACAAAAGTTCCGAGAGCTCCTGATGGTCGACATGTACCTCCAGAAGATGTGATTGCAGCTCATCGCGAATGTATACCATTACTTCACCTCATCCACGAATTGGGTTCCGATCCACCCGATACACGACATAACCCGGGATCGACACTTTAGAGTCGGCAATGTCTTCCGCCAGCCAGGTTTCTCTGAGAGCGACAACTACCGGTATGCCGGCGTGAACGCCATTTGTTCACGCATCACCCGTAAATGAAACCGGTCTCAAAGCTGGATTCCTGGAACACAATCCATTCTGGTACATAATTTCACAAGTATTGTGACCTAATATCCCTGAGCAACATTTTTCTCCAATTGTATTCACTCAATCCTATCCGTTCGCGTCAGTGGCACATGCTAACCAGGTAGCTGTGTACATTTTCTCTAACCCACATGCAACCTGCCTCAAAGTAGGACGCCAAGTGGAGTGTTGCTATTTAGATTTCAGCAAAGCTTTCGAGTCTGTCATTCCTCAGCTCCTGGTTCTATAAATACAGACACTGGGAATTCTAATAAGGGCAAGAGAATGGATAACAATTTCGCAACCGTCTCAAGTTCAGCGTGAGAGTTGGAAACTATACAGCCAAACCTGAAGGAATATTCAGTGGTGTCCCACAGGGATCGGCGTTGGGTTCATTATAATTTCCATGTCATCTAATCGTCTTGCGAAGGATCTCCAAAATCCTTGCTACATGTTCGCCCATGGTGTACAATCAGCTGGAGAGGATGCAGTTTGAAGGTGGTCAAATAAATGGGATCTGCAACTGAATCAAAGTAAGTGTCAGCTCTTAACCACAAGTGTCAACAATGAAACAAGCGGTGTGATGCATTTAGAGCATGCCTCTCAGGTAAAGGATCTAGGGGTAATGATTACAAGTGACTTGGGGCCATCCATGCAGTGCAAGCGTGCGGCTAACAAAGCTCAACACGAACTTTTCAGGTTGCGCTGTTGTATGCTGGAAAAGTCCCGAGGTTTTCGTACCTTTGTACAAAACTATTGTGCATCCTCATCTAGAATGTCGCATGCAAGCACTGGCGCCTTATTTTAAGCAGGTGTTGTTTGAGTCTCCTGGGCCTCAGGGGTGCAAACTCTTCTGTGGGCCTCAATAAACTATCTTTAATTGCAGTCCATCTCCCTTTGATGGTAGGCTCAGCTGTTGACGGTTCCCAGCTTAAGCCTAACGCTGCCTCTTGAAGACTCTTCTTGTACACCCCCATACAACCGGACCATTTTGATCCCTGGCTTATTGCACTGCGCCAGTACTTTTAACTGAATGACCGCGTGGTCGCTTTTGCCTACAAGGACCTCTATCGTGAGATTAACGACATCTGACCTTGCTCGAGATATAGCGAATTCAAGGATTGAGGACCTCTGGTTGAACCGGAACCGGTTGGGTTCCCTTACATGCTGCACAAGCGCATGTGAATAGATCCACTCCAGTAGTGCCCATCCCGCAGTTTGCCTAGGAGCTCGTTCTTCCCAAACTATTTCAGGAAGGTTTAGATCTCCCACGATGAGGAATCTATGGGCCCTTCTAAGCACCTCTGGTAGAGCATCAGTTCATTATCCTCAGCCACTGTTGAATTTGGTGCCCTATAAATGCAAACAATACCTATATGTCCCGATACAACTCCCAGGTGGCAAGCAGTAATATGAATATGGAGAGTGGCCACTCCCATTGGTGACAGGTAGTTCGCACAGCTAGGACTCCAGCCCATTGCCTTCCGTCGACTCTATCCTGTCTATATTCCGTGTACTCCTGTAAACCCAGGACCATATCGTCACTCTTGAGCTAAGTCTCAGTGAAAGCAATGACATCTGCGTCTGCTGACCTGGTCTTTAGCTCCCCCGATTTGCCCCGGAGGCTGCAGGCATTTGCATACCAGACAGCCACATCAGGGACCTGAGCCTTATTTTACTCGGGCCGTTTCTTGTCGGAGTGCCCTCACGCGTAAGACCGAAGAGAGAGTCAAGTGGTTTGCTGTAAGGGAGGGTGATTTCGGAGTTACTCTCACATCCTATTTAGTGCTGTAATTCGTGATTCGGATGTCCTCGATTGTGCAGTTGTACTTCGCTCTATCTTCTGAGGGAGGCGGCGGATGAGCTTTCTTTAGTGCATCTTGCACTGATAACCTCAGCCTTATTGTTGGTGTATTTGCAACAACAGCTTTCCAACTGGCCTACCTAGGACTATGAGTGTTACAAATCGTTTTCTTCACCGAAGCGGGTACGACAATCGGAGCGTTCTCCATCGGAGCCTTGCGCGGGGTTTTGCTCTTTTCTTTCTAACGAAGCCGTCGCTGCGCATCATTTATGGTAGTTTTATCGGGCTTTGTTTCTTTTGAACGATGACAGCCCTTCTTTGGCTCATTGCTATTTGTATGCCTCTCAGATGGCCCACTCCCAGCTCTTTCAAAATGTTAAGGTTACAACTACCTGGCGGTACCCTATCTGCCCTTTGTATTTGTATAGTCGGCCGTGTTGCTGGCACAGTCAATATTATCCGTTCTTTTCACCCCAGACACTCTTGGCTTTCGTGGGATAGAGGCTGGCATAACCCTGGGTGCTTGAGTGCCAGAGTCAGGTGTAACCCTCACACGACCACCTGTGACGGTGTCTACTTTCACTGCACGCGATAGCACGGCGTCTCTCTCGGAAAGGCTACTAACACCATCCTTGGTCTAAATGCTTTTACGCCTTTCCATACTCCAATGCGGTGGCACTTGACAGTTGGGGTGTTTGCGGGCATCTCAATCATCCTGATTATGTCGTGGGGGCTGCGCCTATCAGATTCCTTTCTCGCCCTATTTTCGCGAATATATGGCTCCCTCAAATTATGGAAGACTAGGTTTTGCGTCCTACTTGACATCATTTGAGTGAAATGTTTTACCATGGATAGTTCTTTTTCAAGGACTTACATTCGCGAACGTGGGGCTGCAATCTCTACAGAAGCTGTATCTTTATTTTTAGCAGTCTGTTCCCCTACCGTCTTCAACCTAATTTCCACCGAATTTGTCTGTTTAACACTAATGCTCTGTTTACCCTTGTTCTTTTTCGACGTATTTGTGCTCTTTAGTTGCATTTAGAAATTAACTCCTCAGCAGCAACCATACCCTAAACCAGGCGAGAGCACTCTAGCGCGGAAGCCTTGCACTGATCACATAACCACTTCAGATTCTTGTTCTAAAGGTGTATGAGGCATTCTCTTTATGCTAAAGGTGAGCACTTTTGATGGTACCACTTTTCGCACCTATTGAGCTGAATGCCATCCGCTACATATCAATTGGAACTAGTGCCTCCACAATGACTTTCGAGGAAATCATTGATAAAAGTGCAAACATTTTTAAAACACGGCCGGGAAAAGCGGATAAACGGGCAAAGTAGCTAGAAGAGATTTTGGAACACAACTATAACAAACTAAAAACGACTCAAATACAACTGTTGTGAACAGCTAAAGGGTTTAACACTTGAATAGTAAGCACTAAAATCTTTAGTACTAAAAGTGTGAAATACCTATAGATATTTCACTAGTATTCAACCAAAGACTTTACATACCGCGATCAACCCAAAACTTTAAACCCAGTTTTGTTCTGCTCAGTTCAGTTCAGTTCAGGTCAGGTCAGGTCAGGTCAGGTTGCATAGTACTGATAATGGCCACAGACAATCAAGCGTCAAGATTTCTTCCGGCAGTATGCTCACAAAGTGTCCAGCTACCATTGCGAATTGCCTTTAGTACGGCGTTTTTGATGAGAAGGAAAGGAAAAAGCTCGTCTCCTTTTACCTCATCGGCGAACAGGGGACATGGGCCATGAAGACGTTCCATAGTACATTAAAGATACTATTCTGGAAAGAGCTCCACCCGTCGCTCATCCAGAGCGAACTTCAATGCAGCCACCCTTTCCAAATCTACTAATTCTTTTGTCAACCTGTTCCAACAGTCCACTACTCTGTTACTGAAGACGCACGACCTAACAACCAGGTTTTACTGCTGCTTATACAGTTTGTACCCGTTTCCTCAAGTCCATTGGGAGATAACTGCCTGGAACATGCTCTCTTCCCTTACTCCCAAGAGCCCCTTCACAATATTGAAGCTCTCCAGTAAGTCTCCCCTTAGTCTCCTCCGTTC